GCCCAGCCGGTAAGTAGGGAAACCGCTAGCCCGCAGCCGAAGCGGATCCGCGTCCTTGCCGCCTCTCCCGCCGGGATCCCCCAGTCCCCTCCTCCCGTCCCAAGGCCAGAGGTGGCAGAGTCCAGAGGGGGTGTGAGCGCGCGCGGCGTGTCTGGGTGAAAGAGGAATCAGCCCCCCCTTCCCCGGCTCAAGAGCCTCTGCCAAAACGTGCAGCCTTGAACGCTTTTAACCCCCATTTTAAAATCTTCCGGAGCTTCTAGTGACTGACAAGCTTTTCGGTGTGGGAACTGGCAAGTTTAGGTAGACGTGCCAGAGAGAAGCGCTTCTTGTACTGGTTTTGTTTAGAAGTGGTCTAGCAGGGAGGGTTGTGGTTGGGGGAGCGGAGGCGAGTTCTTGCGCTCCCTCGCAAGAGGCAGAGGCGAGGCAGCGGGCAGGCTAGATTGGATGAGTAAACCTCCTCCATTTGTGGCCAGGCTGGCGGTACAAGCGTGGGGATGTGTGCCACGCAAACCCATTTGGATTCCCGTTTACGCTTCTAAATGCTGTGGGTTAATCATGAATGGAAGGTTTAGCTGGTTAACAAGCGACAGCTTCGGCCCTTATTGACACTTGATGCCCCCCACCCCGCTTCGATGCCACGTTTGGGATCAGCCCCTGATGATCCCTCAGACAATATTGCGATGGCAGCCGGAGGAAGCAGAGGAGGGGCGCTGGGGAGGGGACAACTTCGGCTCCTTTTCATTTCCTCTGCCGATCCCCCTTGCCTTCGATCTGTACCCTGCTCGGTCCCCCGTCATTTTCAGCAGGTCTCTTTTGCCTCCCTCCGCAGGGAGCAGGGGAGGAGGAGAAAGTGCCCGCCCATTCCAGTCTTCCCCGGGGATCGGGGCCGGAGGGACTTCCTGGACGGGCGCTGGGACCGGACCGCCGTCCCCCATCGCTTTGCCGCCGCTGAAGCCCAGCAGCGCAGCCCACACGGTGAGACTGTGGGTCAAGGGAGGGGGATTGGAGACATGTATGGCTTGCAAGGGGACGAGGATTATCGCTTAACCCCTCCATTTCTGCTGCTCCGCCCTCCGTTTCGGATCAAAATCCTGCGCCGGCCCCTTAAGCCCCCTTCCCTTCCCCTTCCCTTCCCTTCGTTTCCCTCGCCTTCGCCATCCCACCCCAGTTGCTCCTCCTCTCCCGGGTATTAATAGCAATAAATGTGCTAGGTACAGTCAGGCTGTCAGCCAGCCTGTCTGAGTAGGATCTGTGAATGAGTGAGCGAAGGCCACACCAGCTGGCTATGGAGGAGCCCTCTTAATTATCCCCGGCATGTCTCAACACGTCTTGGTCCTGTTCCCCGTCTGGTTTCAGCAGGTATTTGGGTGAAGGAGAAGGAAAGGCAACTTTTGGAGCCAGTTAGGAATTTTGTCCCAAGAAACTAATGTGCAAGTTAGGTGAGGGAAGTCAGTGAAGGGAGACTGAATTGCAATTATGGTAGGTTCCATGCTGCTGTATGAGGATGTAAATATGAGATTCCCTGTCTTCCTCCCTGGGAAGAAAACCGGGAGAGTCATTTGCAGGAACTGCTACTCATACTTCCCACATGAGAAATAGAGAAATCTCTGGGTTATTGATATCGGCAGGGCTAATGCAAACCATTTGAGCTCTGTGGAACTGAAACAAAACAAGATGATAAGTTGCTATGGCCTGGACAACAGGTCCTTGTAACTACTGAGAAGCCAAAGTATATGTGGGTAGTATATATTTTTTTTTCTAGTAACATTCTTTTTCTTTATTAATAAGTCCCTTAACATTTCTGTTCATTCTGTTGTGTGGTTAGTTCTTTCTTATAAAGAAATGACTTCAAAGGCCACTTCATTTTGTGATTAAAAGTACTTTTTCCCAAAGTGAAAAATTAAGGGTATTCTCTTAATTATCAGACCAACTCAGAAGGATTGCCTGTTTCCAGTGGTACAAATGGGCAGCTGAGTGACCCTTACAATTTAACTAGGGAACTGGTGTTTCTTAGAGGCATTATTTCTAGAGCTGTGGTTTCTCACTTCCATTCATTGCCAATCTACTACTAGGGATGGAGCTACCCAGGCATGGTGATCTATTTATGGTAACTGAAGAAAAATAGACTTGAACATATAACTAGCTTGGTGGATGTTATTTAACCTCAGCTTTCAACCTGAAACACACACACACACACACACAATTTGCACTTTATATGAAAGGATCCTATATATTTAATTCAAATAACAATTGCTTTTTGGGAATGCTCATAGATCTAACTGGACAGCATGAGTTGGAAGACAGTTACAAATGCTTCATTGTCACCAACATCACTACTCCTAAAATATCATAAGATTCTAGGAATTACATTTATTTATAAATGGCAGTTCCTTTATCTGAAAGCCCCCTTTTCCCCCAATATGTATGGAATACTGGTTGTTGCTGTGGGAAGAAAAGGAAGGAGAGGGCAATCTACATGGTTAGGGACTCTTTTTATTAGCTTACATGTTTTGGGTTGAACACTTATCCTAAAAATTAATAGCAGAGTTAATCTGGTAAAACTCTGATGTAATAAGAGCTTGTTACAACAAAAGAGAGAAGTTATATGGATTTATATATTACCATTGCACTGGTTTCACATGTCCAGTGGCATTCAGATGATCAGCTTTAGAATCTAATTACATTACCATGCACTTATTGCACCAGAGTGGTGCACATGTCATGAAGTGACTACAGATAATTAAGAAATATTGTGTCATCATGTATAAGTAGATGTATAAGTGTATGCATATGACAACCAGTGTGGTGTTGGACTGGCAATGGGGAGACTTATTCAAATCTATCATCAGTAATAGGTGGTGTTGTGGAGAAGAAATGGAAGGAGGGAGAGCTATATGTGCTGCCATAAGCTCCTGGACAAAAGACAGGATATAAATCTAACAAAAACATTTTTTATTAAATGTACATGAACAAGTTATGCACCTATTGCATAAATCCAGTGAAAAGGCTATAGCCAGTGCACAGCTAGTTATAAGCCAAATCCAGTAGGTCTGGATAATTTTAATTCAGAAAGAATAAATATGTTGGCTGCAATGTTAAGGATGGGAAACATGTAGATATGAATATACTCTTGATTTTCCCATGTTTTCTTAACTGTCCCAGAATCCTATCATGGTCAGAGTTTTCTGTAAGAATCTTTCTGAGCTATTCTCAACCTCTTTTCAATATGTCTAGTTCATCTTACATATTAATCTGATCAAGTTGATATATAATGTTTGCCCTAGATATGCACATTTGGAAAGGCTGATATCACAGGGATATATACTATGAAACACAGAAGTCCCCTCACATAAAGGTAACATAAAAAGTTTTGTCTCTTTAGTGGGATAGGTCCTTCTTTGATTTGACTCATAACAGAAGACTCTTTGAGAGTTTGAAGATACAATGGAGGATTTCTCAGATGCCCAAGCGAGCACATGTGAGGAAGTGTATGTACCATATAAGTGTTGGCTTGTGCTCTGTATTTATGGCAACCTGTGCCACTAAGCAGATGTATGGATGGCTATTACAAATGGAGCAGAGTCAGTCTATACAACTTCTTTCCAACTGTTAACCATCTCTGTTACAATAAAACTGCAACTTAGTTCATTGAGTTGCTCATCAGGTTTCCGACTCTTCCATTTCCTTGTTGCTGTACTTCCTGGCATGCACTTCTAATTCAGTTCTTTTTTCCTACTTATCTTGATCCAATGGACAGAACCCCATGTTTGGACTCTGGTAGTTGGGGTTCAATTAAAAAGTTGGTAGGTAATTTTTGACAAGTCCTTTTTTACCTCAGTCTATGCTTTTACATATATAATAAATGCCTATTAAGATGTTGTAAAGGAAGCATTTCATTATTCTAAATCAGAGTGTTTCTGACTGGAAGTCACAACTTAGTCTCCCAATCTATGGTAAAATTTCTGGTGAAATCCTTGGAAGGAATGGTACTGAAAATATTTGGCCTGGTTTTTAGTTGATTTTTCAGGGGAGGAACTGGGAGAAGTTTGCTTCATAGAAGCTTTTTACCCCAATTTATTGCCCGCAATAATTTTACCCTGAAAATTACCCGCAAATCAAGCAAATCATGTAGTAAAAAATAGGCCATTTTGTTCCTGAATATCAGTAGCATAATCTCAGATCCTCTGAGACCACAAATGGGAGCTGAGTGGTTGCAGATTACCCACCCCTGTTCTAAAAGAAGGTAGATGATGATTATCACTACTACTACAGTTACCACCAGTACAGCTGGCTCAGGAAAGTTACAACAAATCCTATTGCAGCTCCTACTCTGCCAGATGTCTATATTCTTGTTTTTTGGATGGATCATTATCTCTTTCTTCTTAGCTGTTTTTGGTACAATGACACAAAGATGTCATTCTGCATCTATTTGTTTACATGGGGAGTTGTCTTAAACTGATTCAGATCACTGGCTCATCTAGCCTAGTCCTGTGGACATTGATTTGCTTCAGGATTTCAGTAGCTGCCCCTTCCAACACAAAAAACCTTGGGTTCTTCTGCATTCAAACCAGGTGCTGTGCTCAAATAATGACATCTCCTATATTCTTTCTTGCTCCTTGTGAATGCTATGGTATCTATTTTCTCTTTGGAGAATTTTATTGTTTTATGCTCATTGTTCTCAGTGATGTTTATGAGAAAAACTTGTGTGAAGGTTATTCTTTTTGAATGCCACTGCTGAGGCCTGTCCCTCAATCCTGAAGGAGTTTCTTTCTTCTCTTTGTCAATGTACCTTCAAATCTGGTTACTTCTAGGACTAATGATACATTATGGCCATAAGGGCCACCATGGATGGACCCTGTGCTAAATAGAAAAACACTTTAGCCACTTCAGGAAATATTACATGCATGGACTTACTCTAAAATCACACTTTAGACTTACTCTAAAATCACACCATAAGGCCCAACCATTTAAAAAAGAATGCTGTGTGACGGCCATTAACATGGAACGTGTGACCTGTTACTTTGGTTGAGGATATTTTGTGCTGATTGTCATCTGTTGAGGTAGATGTTCAAGTTGGAGGTGAGGGGTAGAGTAGAGAAAAGCTGTCAAAACCATACTCTTCTATTTCAACAAACTGTACTCAGCCCTCAGTAACAAATCTGCAATGGATCCGGATTGTAACAAAAGAAAATAAGGTAGACTTTGTCTAAAAGAGCCAGTTTGATGTAGTGGTTAAGGCATCAAGCTAAAAACCAGGAGACCATGAGTTCTAGTCCCGCTTTAGGCATGAAGCCAGTTGGGTGACTGTGGGCCAGTCACTCTCTCTCAGCCCTAGGAAGCCGGCAATGGCAAACTGCTTCTGAAATCTTGCCAAGAAAACTGCAGGGACTAGTCCAGGCAGTCGCCAGGAGTCAACACTGACTTGAAGGCCCACACATAGAGAGACTTTTTTTAAACTAAAGTCACAATATTCTGTAATTCACAGTCCAAAAAGAAATAGGTTATTGAGATAACAACAGCAACAACAATAATAATATCAACAACTACCACCATCTCTGATCATTGTATTGTAGGGCTGGTGGGAATTTGGTACCCAAGATTATGATGAAGTGTTTCTTTCCTAAATCTCATATTAATACTTGATCACTTGTAGCTTTAAGTCATAGTTTGACTTGTTGCTGTTTATTTTGACCTGAATGTAGAAAGAAAGAAATCTTATAAACTATAGAGAATGGATTTTTACATCAGCCAAAGCCAACCCAGTCACAATGAGTCTTAACATTATTCAGTCTAAGCAGATAACAACTCCTCACCACCTTGTTTTAAATCACAATATGCGTTGCCAGATTATGTTTTAATTTGATTTAAATCATGATTCAGAACAACAAGGACAAGGATTAATTTAAAATGTATGCAGGCAGCAACAGTTTTCCTATCTAGAAATGTGTATGAAAAAGAATATATAATAACCAGTT